TGAGCATGTATGTTGGAGCAAAAGAAAATTGGGTTAAAAAGTACTTTATTAACAATTACCATCCATGGAAACAAGTTTTTGATTGGTATCTTAATTCGGTAGGTGGAGCAAATTTGTTGTCCTAGTGTAATTTTAAGAGGGGAATGTTATCGATAAACTTACCACCCTTTTACGAGTCTGTTCTTCATGCATGGTCGTCAGTAAATTTACATAAACCCCGGGAAATCTTCAAGAAATCGCAAGTGAGAGTATTTGGAACAATCAAAATATTATTATTCAAGGAAAATCTATCTTTTATAGAGAATTATATAACATAGGTATAGTTTATATTACAGATTTATATGACAAGAATGGTAAAATTCTGTCTTGGGATCTATTGGTTAATCGTAAAAAAGGTTTGGTCTTGTGGATGCAATTCCGAAAACTTGACATATTAAATGTTCTTATGTTGTTAGACCCACTCTCCCAGTAAAGTGATGGTAAAATTATATTTATTAGCAAAATGTCTACGAGAATCTTTACCCAAATACTAGTTAAAAGGAAATTTTCACCCCCGAAAAGCGAAATATACTACCAAAATGTGTTTCCTACTATAACTTTAGACTGGAAAAAATTGTATGCACTTCCGTAAAAGATTACAATAGAATCCAAGTCACGTGCGTTTATTTTTAAATTTTGAGAAATATACTATATATTAATTTTATTTTATTTAAAATGCCCCCAGCTTAATGCATCATCTCCCCTGTGTACTTTTTGTAAAAAAACAGATGAAACTTTACTACATTTATTTGTAGACTGCCAATATTCAAAGGAGCTTTGGTGTAAAGTATTTCATAACTGGGGCAAATTTTTAAATCTAGACAGTCTTCCAGATAAACTACTACTTGAGGATGGACATTTTAGTACTATTACAAATCAGGTTATATTACTTGCGAAACGGGCTATATACACTGCTAGGTGTCAAGATACCTTACCCAGTTTCATAGTATTAAAACATTTAGTGTTGAATATTTTAAAAAAAATGAAAAATATATTGCAACTCGTAAAAATATTATGGAGCATCATGTTAATAAATGGGGTAATTTTCCAGTCGAATAGGTCAAATTTTATGTTCTTCACTTTACTCTGATAATTTGTTGTATTTGTGATTGTGTTGTACTTGTTAGTTCTGTTTCCTATTCATGTATTGTTAATTGAAAACTCATTAGTCCTAATAATTTTCTAAGTTCCCCTACTGTAGCTGTTTTTTATCTTTCAAAACTCCAACAGCTATTGTATCTTGTGAGTCCGGTTCATATACTTTATCTGAGATTATCCTACCAAAATATCATACTTTGCGTTTAAACATGGTACATATTTTCGGCTTCAGTTTGCTTGTGGAGTAGAAGTTTTCTGATGTCTTCTACATGATCTTCACATGTTTTAGCGTGAACTAAAACGTCATCTAAGTATGGCTCACATATTTCATGACTCAACCTGTCAAGCATTCCTCCATATAGCGTTCATATTCATTTGGTGCATTACGTAAGCCAAATGGGATTCGGGTTCATTCATACTGTCCCCAAGGTGTGATGAAATAGCCCTTCTATAACATTATACCCAATGCAGTGACTAACATCAGTACTTTTAATTCTTTGGTACTTGGATCCCTGGAAGTCAGATGAAAATCGAACTCTGTCTAACCTGAATAGGGTATATCTGTACCATTCATTGCTTCCACATTCAGGGTTGTGCCGATCTCAAGAAGTTCTTCAATTTGGTTTAGTGGATTATCTGGAAGGTTATGCATTGTTCATGCATTGGAGATGACACATAATTGAGTTAAGTAATATTGATAGTTCATTTTCTGACTACACTGTTGAATGTTGTTCTTGGCCGTTAGATCATGAAGTTGCTGTATCATTTTACAGTACACTGTGTTTTCTTTCCAGTGTTTTTTGACAGTCGTTGGCCTACACCATTATTACAAGCAGAGCATTATTGACTTATTTCTTGGTCTGGTTTCCGGCAATCATTTCAAGTGTAGGACTAGTCTTGTGACTTGGTTACTCCATGTCCCGTCTGCAAAACCGATCTCCGTTTCCCGCGAGTTTCCTAGGTGACTTGCATCCAGCTTTAAAATGTTCACTGCTGCCAGACCTAAAGCAGTGGTTAAAGTTCTTTTTCCCACCTTCTCAACAATTATTACACTCAAATGGTTTGAATCCTTTATTGTCTCGCTGGATTCTAGTTTCTGTTGTGACTGATTATTCAAAGTCACTACTTCTTTCATCGCTGCCATTGCTGCTGCTATCCTAGCCATAATTTCTTCTTTCATTATTGGTATATTAGTCCCATGCAGTGAATGAAGTTTCATTATTGGTATAATAGTCCCATGTAGTGAATGAAGTTCATAATTGGTATAATAGTCCCATGTAGTGAATGAAGTTCATTATTGGTATGATAGTCCCATGCAGTGAATGAAGTTTCACTATTGGTATAATAGTGCCATGTAGTGAATGAAGTTCATTATTGGTATAATAGTCCCATGTAGTGAATAGAGTTTCATTATTGGTATGATAGTCCCATGTAGGGAATAAAGTTCCATTATTGGTATAATAGTCCCATGTGGTAAATAGAGTTCAATTATTTGTATAATAGTCTCATGCAGTGAATGAAGTTCT